TGTGTTGCATAAATCATATCCTTCTTTTACATGTGCTGGACAATTATCAACTAAAAGGAGTACTTTTCGTCCGTGCATTTGCTGATCAAACCATCTAACATATTCAACAAACATTGTTCCAGTCATCCATGCTTTTGAATTCCATCTATACTGAATATCTAAGTGTTTTATATTTATCCCTTTAAAACATCTTGGATTTTGATACTTTCCAATTATCCAACATGGTAATTTATGTGAACCATCACCATTAGTACAGACTGCAACAGTTAATCTTTCTTTACTTTTTTTTGTTCCTTCTAACTGTTTAGTTGCAAGAGATCTATCTGCTGGAAGATGGTAAAATAATCCAGTTTCATCCATATTGTAGATATCTTTCCATTCATATTGGTTAAGAAGCTGATGAAGTAAAGGTAAAGCTTCAGCTATATTGTTTAAGTCTACAGACCCACTTTCCCCATGCTTAGTATAAGATTTAATTTTGTAGCGGTTCTTGAAACTTTCTAACCAGCCATTGGAAAAGGACATTATTTTGTCAGGATACAATTGTTTTAAAAAAATCTGTACTTTTTCCTTAATCATGTACCACTAATTGGAACCTTTTCTTGGTTTAATAGAAACTATTCATATAGTGCACTGTCCAAGTAAGGATATTTTACTGATTTAATTCTTTTTCGGCTTGAGTTTCCACACTAAAAAAGAAAGAAATAAGTTTTAATAATAAGTTGTTAATAAATATGTATTCACGATTTTATACAGCATATTACATTTGTCTCCTCAGAAAACTCAATAGGTCCCAATAATATTCTTGATATTGTTGATTGATTTACTCTAAAACCAAATTCTTGTTCTATCTATTTTTGAATATCAGACTGTGTCAGTTTTGGATTCTCGCGTTTCTTTTTAGATATGGCATTTCGCTGGGTTTTGGTAATTGCTTGATGTTTATTCTTGGAAGAAGACATAAATCACGTAATTCAATCGCGTATTCAAAAATCAAAAAAAGGGGATGATTAAATAATGATGATAATAGATAATGATGATGATATAATGATAAAGGTTGGTATTACATATGAAAAAAATAATTGAACAAACGAACGTACAAACGAACGAAACGTACAAACG